TAAATCTTTTTCCTACTTTTTAACCATACATTCTCCTAAAAATCACTATTCAAAACATTATTTTTTCCAAATAATGGCCATCAAACAGGGGCTAAGTACTGAGCATGTAAAACCTGATTTATAATTTATTTCCAAGAAACGACAATCTGAAGAAAAAGAAGGATTTCAATGGAATGATTAGTGACACTTAAAATGTGTGTGTGCTTAGGAGGGAAGAAATTACATGAGAAAATATGGAGCTAGGTTAGAAGTTAAATATGCAGGTAATTTTCAAAGGCATTCTAACGTTCTATAAGGGATCTTCCACTTTTTTCAGCAAAAAAATAAAAAAAATAAAAAAAAAGGAAAATTTACACAGATGCTTGGCTTTCCACATTCTGACAAAGAACGAAAAATGGCAAACTCAAAATTTAAATAATCAAGTAAAAAAGTGGATAATTGGTTCGCAGACAACAAATACTTACAGAAGCTTCCATCTGTAGATGCTTACAGACCATTCTCCAATAAAGAGCAACTTCAGCTTCCATGAGTTGGATGCCATGATTGCAGTCTTCTGCTAACCAATTGCAAAAATTAATGAGATATTGAATGCATTAGCTTCTTAATCAAGTTTGGGGATAAGAAATTACATATTGACCAGGAGGCATCAACTTGTTAAATTTCATGCAACTATAGGAAACCACATACTGAAAAAGGTGGTAACTTTGACCCACCAAAGTATATTTACCTAAAATATACTCATGAATTTTGTGAACTAATCTAATCTCTGATAAAAAAAAGCCAAATCACAAAGGAATACAGGCTTTGATACAAAGAACTTTCAAAGAGCTTCCATACTGAGATAACAAATCGATTACGCATCACATAATTATTATCGATTGATGAATACGTAACTTGAGATTAATATGGACAAAATCGAATTCTAAAGAGATCACATTTGTTCTCTTAAAAGTTGCTGAACACTAGATGACTGCAGTTATAGAATTCTTGTTGACTCCAATATTGCATCATTAATGCAGTATATGTATCATAAAAATCCAGAATGAAACCAGTAGGTTTTTCTATACTAACAAAAGCCTACAGTAGTACAGGAAAGAGACAGTTAAAAAATTTGGCAATCATATGTTCAAGAATACCAACCTCCAAATAACAAATATGTAGTATGCAGTTATAAGACTAGCATAAAATAGTTTTTACTGAAAGAATATAAGTTCTGCAGCAAACTGCTTTGACCAATATCGTGCTGGCCTTTTTTAGTGGACAAACCATATTAGTTGAGGATATCTAGAAAGGAAAAGGGCAGATTGATTTAGTTACAAATAACACTAACCTTCAGTTGCGTCACTAGTTGATGCCAAGAACTGCCTTATGGTTTGTCCATCTTGCAAACTTACCAATCCTTCTTTTAGTAGAGTGGCCATTACAGACTCCCCGACTGATTCATAGGTTTCAACATCAAGAAACTTAAGTAATTCTATAGGGTCTCTATTGCAGCACTGCAAAAGCCATTCATCTTTCATCAATTTCAAACACTCCTTTGCTACGGCTGTTGAGCGATCTGCAAGCCCCCTCTGAAGCATGGTTGTTCTAAGCTTTATGCTGTGACACAAATAATGTAAAATCAGTAAGGAAATTAAACCTTCAAATCCAAAGGCCAGACTGAAATGGTAGAGCTGAATAAAACTTAAGCCGAGTTTACGCTTCATCCATTTCCAGAGGCCAGATAATAACATCTACCCCTAGCATCAGCATTCAGCAGCTTAATTTTGTCAACCATATGCCTCTCTGGATGGAAGAAAATGCTCTAAAGAATACAGAGTAGAAAATCTACTATAGCAGAATAGGATTTCACCGCTAGTGTAGAGGATTCTGCCTAAGAGAAAACATTAATAAATTTTTACACACCATTTTCAACAAAAACAGAAGTATCCACCTCATCTGCTTAAAGACAAAAGTTCCAAATTAAATATGAAGCGGAGAGAAAGTGCACTAGCGTACTTCTGCCAGATTAACGGTGAATGGACAACTCCTAACTATGAGAATATTCCATCTATTTATATCGAATCTAGGTTTCTTGTTCTCTGTTGAACATTCATTTCTATTCTGAATGCGGTGCCTCAGGGCACCAAAGTGAGTTGCAGAAGCTTTTATGAGTTTTTCTTGAAGCTATTTTTGTATGTGGTTGCAAGTTGCTTCATACAAGAAAAAACCTTAACTTACACTCCTGGTATTATCATCTGCCAAGTATAATTTAAAGGTTTAATAACATTTGGTAATTGAAGAAGTAAATTTTAAATGCCTTTCAGACGCCTATTGCCCAGAGTAACAAGCAACTGGGTTTTCCTCTATACTATTTGAATATGTTATTGTTCCCTGAACGTAGATAAGTGTTCGTAAGGTGCTATGGTTCAGATCTTTTTACTTGCATGTAATGATACTGCATGAGTACAACACATAACCAAGAATTCGTTGGGATCCCACTTTCTATTTCATATGAATAAACGTCATATTTAAATAGAGATAGACCCATGGACCTGACATTATACCAAGCAGCAATTGAGTTCTGTTTGTTTATATTTTTCTTTTCTGGTCAAACATCCCATTGATCCTTTACTTAAATTGAGAAATCTAATATTATCCATACATCTCATGCTTTTTTAAACTAAGTACTTATTTTGAATGGGCAACCTGTTCCTATCGCACCGTAATCTGTGAACCTTCTATGTGTACATGATTCAGTTTGAGGAAAATTATTTATTTATTTATTTATAGGAGGTGTGGTGATTTTTTAAAAGTTAATATATTTAATGTTCTTAGGAAGATGCAACTTTTTTTTTTTCAATAATTCTTACTCTGAAAACAGTAATTCTTAGTACAAGGTAAATCAAATCTCTTTTATGAGGGAGTCTAATTACAACTTTGAACAAGCAAAGCAAAAATTCACCTTTAGTTTGTCCGTTATTGTTGTGTGCATGATAGACAGGTCTATATTCCTTGGTTTTAATATGTCTCCTTCAATCATTCTTTCTATCTACTATTATCCAAAAAAAAAAAAACAAGTCATTAATTTCTTATTGATTCATAAATGTGCAATTTTTTCTAAAATGTACCCCTGGCCTCTGATGTCCATATAAGGGCATTGCTGTTCGATTTACTGTTGTTAGACAAATCTGTCTATTAAGTGGAGGAGCATAATGCTGTTTTGGAATACCTATATAGTCATAATTCCTCCCAGATGCTTGATTGCCAAGTTTTTATCTTATTCTCTTTGGAAACCTTCCAATACATATGGTGCATGACAACTGCAGCATGCATGCCTTGTGTAATTAGATAATGATACTTTTTGTGTAAACAAGACCTTACAGTGAAGTATGATATCTGTCTAGGCTCCCGATGAAGTTAATGTTTCAGAACAGTTTAAAATGAGTGTAAATTATGGGATGGTAAGTACATGTTCTCAAATTTAAGTGAACATGATAAGAAATTCAATGCAGGTTTAAGAGAGTAAATTATTGTAAGTTAATTTTTTTTCTTTCTATCCTTGAAGCCGAATACTATATATTCTTCATCATATTCATACCTTCATATTGTCTTGGAAACTTGTGTCGAAATCCAGTGCATTTTTCTTTGTTATCTATTTTAATTAATATGACTGCCTAACTTTGTATGATGATAGATATAATACTTGTAGGCAATGTTTAAAAAGGCTTAGTCGGGTAACGAGTTGTTTTACCCTTGTAATGCACGGTGTGATTCTCGAGGTGCTTGTAGTAGGAAATCTCGAGACGGACCAATAAATGTTTCAAAGAATGTAAAAATAGAAAAATATGCTCATGATAAACCCTAATTCACGTTTAAAAAATCCATAATACAACAAATAACCAAAAAAATTGTTTAACTTGCAAATAAACATAAAATAGATAAATAAAGCAGATAAATACAAGTTTTGGAATTAGTAATCACATAACAAAATATTAATCTACTACTAGAAGTAGAAACAGCTAAACAATCTCTTGTATCATCACTAATTCACTACTAATATAATCTTTAAAGGAATCATCAAAGACATTCTCCCAAGCACTATCAATTTGTTCTCATTCTTTGTCATCATTCTCCACTTACAATGTTCTATTCTTCCTCCATTCCTTACCATGTAGGCAGGATAAAGAAAATAAAAAAACTCATAGAACATTCTAGGTTATAAAGAATTAAGGCCAATAAAAAATGTCCAGAAAATGCAAGTCAAACAAACACATTTTAGTCACATATGTCGTAAACCTTACAAAGTCGAGGCGTAAGCCTCACAAATGGTACCTGAGGCATATGATTTGAGGTGTTTTATAAGAGCCTCACATGAGGCTAGATTCAAGAGGCAAGCCTTTATTGGTTTTTTCAAACAATGATTGTGGGAATTTAATGGAAAATTTATGTCAGCGATAGCAAAATCATGATTTACATTGCAAAATCATACCTCTACTTTTTTCAAAACTTACTTTGGAATGTTCTTCAGGCTTTTTTTGGTTGCAATTATTCACTCTTTCCATATTATTTAGGGTACAGTGCCGAAGATGGCAGGGGTGGAGGTAGGCAAGTAAGATATGACAGGTATACTTGCTTCACTTGCTCTCTTGTGTCTTCTCCAGTACATTTTTCTAGTTTTTATGTTCGCTAGCGTTTAAAATAGCTTAACAACACTTACAACATTCTAGGTTATTAAAAAACCAGCAAAAACAAAAGCCGCCAGAAAGAACACAGGTCATCATCGTGAGGCTATGCCTTCAGGCGTGTGCCTCTGTAAATTGAGATGTAAGTATCGACAAGTGGAACTCATGAGCTTCAGGAAGCTTAGTGAAAGCCTCACAAGAGGCATGTCTCAAGCATTAACCTGGGACACTTTTGGAGAAGCAGAAACGAAAGTACCATAACTAGGACTAGCACGTGAAATTACCTGAGAGTCTGAAGTGGAAATTTACTGGCTATAACACAAAAAGCTGCCTTCCGTACTGATTCACTCACATCCAGAGTGCTCTCAATTATTATTGATAAGGTTTCATTTGAAGGAGGTAAAGATAACACAATAGTCTTACGAACATCCTGCACATTTACAATATGTAGAAAACTCGATAAACAGTGTCCAGATAGGTTATTCATTATAAGAGAGAAGATGAATTGATCTTCTGCAACTCAAATTCAATTGACTACCAATTCATCTGACATATATTAGTCAATTGAATTTTAAATTGGCTTAGTAATGCAATTTTCAGCATACAAGTTGAAAAAAATTATATTAACTATTCCAAAATCATGTCAACATTATCCTCAACGTTTTGCAGATTTGGGGCGTGATATTTCATATTAAAGAGAAGAAAAATTATACTGCTGCTTCCCAGGCTCTTTTGAAGTATTTCTGTTAATTTGTAGTAATAATTTGACTGAATCTGCCACGGCTTTTCAGCTAAATGTTGAGAAGCTACTGTTAAATAGTCCAGAAAACCATTTTAACCAAAGAAATAACATTCTGAAGGTGTACGACAGAACATTAGTGTAGATATATAGTTAGATTAAGCAAAAAAGAGTAGAAATAAATGCAATCACAAATAAGGACAGGGGTTAGAACACTCACTGCATTCTGCTCCAAAGGTAGTGCCAGAAGGAACAAGTCAATAATGTCTCTGTTCTCTGACTCATTCGCAAAGCGTAAAAGAGCTCTGACTGCAAATGATCGAACTACAGGAACCTTATCACCCACCCGCAACTTCATGCATTCAATCACCTCATCCCAGAGTTCACTGCTCACTTCTGCATCATCTGGCAACCGTATAATGATCTAGAAAGGTAAAACTTTAATCATGTAAAGTATACTAACCCAGAAGAGAAAACAAATTTAACAAAAGCAAGTCACATGAACAACTCTTCCAAGGTATGCTCATCCAAGCACTGAACTAAAAGCTAATTAATTAATTCCAAGTAAAGAAAATTATGTGCACCACTAGCTATAAAAGAGTTAAAACTGTTTTCAAGTTCGACACAAAATTAAGCAACGTGGAACCAGAAAATATTCAGGACGAACCATGCCATATAATTTTATGAAAAGCCAATTTAAAATAATGTCTTCGACTCTTAATCTAGACCTTATGTCTCAACTTGGATCATTTTGTTTCTGTTAGACGCTCGCAAAAAATAAAATATCAGTTAACTTATCCTATTGATGAAAAAATTCAGACAAAATGCCTCAAGTCTAATTGTTTCCTTCATAGTCATTACACACTTCGAAAATTTAAAGGCAAAGAAAAACGGTTAGCTTCTTAAGGTTTAGAAAAAATTTCATAAAATATTTTTTCTATTATTTGACTTCATCCCCATAATGCACTTAAAATTGAAAGGTATAGAATGTTGAAGAAGTTTCCGTAATGTAAAGCAGGGTGTACAACATTGAAACTGAGATGTACAACCCCCGAAGCAAAATCTATCCCGTACCTCAGAAATGATCTGGCAAGCCCTAAACCTAGCCGTCTTATTAGCCGCCTCAGCCGCTAAAAGCAAAAACCTCAGAAAATTCTCCAAGAACCCATCAGAACTGCTAATATTCTTCGCATCAGGAGTGAAAGCAAAGAGCGAGACGAATTTAACAATTCGCTCTGCAGAGGCAGTCCGGCGCTGGAAATTGAATAGAGGAATGATGGCTTTGGAAAATGCCTCAAAGAATTGGACCGGTGACGAGGCCCGGAGAGCGGAGAGGTCTTTCAGTTTTCGAATGTGTGTGGCATTTGAGCTCCGAATGTCATCTAAAACCCTAGCAATTTTCTGGGCCAAATTTCGCTGCTGCCCATGGTCTGATTCTTCAATTGCAGTGGGCATTTCAGATTCTTGGGAGAATTTGTAGATATAAAAATGAAATTTCACTGAATAATTTTGTTTAGCTTCACTGTTGATGGCAAGGGGTATCTGTATTTGAAATGGTTTTCGAATGAATTTGAAGCGGGAAAAGGATGTTTTGGGTTGGTTGGATCGTGTAAAAGAAAGATTGCACCAAAGGTCCCCAAACATTAATGCTAGGTGCACTTGAGTCCCCGTTTCTTATTTTCTGGCAGTCACATCTCAATAGAACAGCCCATGAGTCACAAATTTTCAGCCCATATGATTCGGTTAAGGAAAGAAGGAAAAAGTTGACAAGTCACTCATTTAAGTCTGGATAATTCAGGTTTTAAGTTTCAAAATTGGATATTAATTAATTAAATAAATATATTAAGGTCACAATTATACAATTAATGATCACGCGCATATACTTATAGGTCACATCATCACATATTATCAAATTAATTGGTCACAGATTATTTCACCAGTCACAAATCAAAATAATTATATGTTACAATTTATTTATCGATCACATATTTTTAAATTAGTTGGTCACAAATTATCGAATTTTTATATCACAATTAAATAGTTAATAACATATACACCAAATAGTGGGTCACATACCACCCCAACCAACACCACCGCCACTTACAACCACCCTCACCTCGCCACCACAACAACACCACCACTAACACCTACACAACCACCAGATTCAATTCACTGCCAACAAAAACCACGAGAATCACCACCATCAAATCTTCCACCACCAAGAACCACCTCCACCGCCAACAACCACCACTATAACATTCCACCACCACCACTACCACCACTAACAACCCAACAGTCAAAACAATCTCCAACGACCAAAAAAATCATATCCCCTTCATCACCACTGCCCATCGAGACCCAATCACTACCATCACTGTCATCACATGCAAAGATCCCATCGCTTCCTATGAGTATAAGAAGGGATATGGGAGCACCGGCAGAGATCGCTTCACTCAGGAAACTGCTCGTCAATTGCACCATCGATCTGATGACAGAGAGAAGGGAGACGAAGAGTGGAGAGGAGAGTGGAGAAATAGATTTAGGTTTTGAAATCGAGGATGGGTGGGTGTCCGATAAGGTTGAATTGTAGATTAATTATAATTTTAATTAATTGCCAGAATTGTGAATAAATAAACCTCATCTCTGATTTATGAATTGTGATCTTTAAATACATGTTAGGTTGTAATTTCCAAATAAAAGAAAGGGTTTGTTTTGGTACAAGTCCAAGCACAAGGTAGAGCCCCATTCAAAGTCTGTACACATTAAAATTAGTTGTTTTTTTATAATTTTTATCCAAATTAAAATCTAGATCTTTATCAAAGTCAAAATGAACAATTAATTTTAATCATATATTTCATGAGACCCACAATATTTAAACCATATATTCATCAACTTTTATCAAAATCTGCTAAAAAAATAATTTTAATCTCTACCAAACAGATGCTTAATATTTTTTTGGTTGGCTTTTAGCATATCATTGAGATGAATAAATGGACGTCCCAAGGGTGAAGTGCCGCGCATCAAATTCAGCAACATTTGCCAAGGGTCGCAGCATTTGCTGTCACTAGCATTTTGCATTTGCGTCGCTCGAGCATTAGAAACAAAGACTCTGTCGCTCGAGCGACAGCCTCCTCGCTCGAGTGCTAGGCGAGCGATGAAGTTGGTCAAATTTTCAGCAAATTTCTTCTCTTTCTTTCAACTTTAGACCATAATTTCTCATTCAGCCGAAATTGATTTGAAAATTTCAAATATACCACGACGATCTACTCAACGAATAAAACAAGTTAATCTATTTATTTTCATAATTTGACTATCGGATCACGTCCGAATATTTGGTCGAAATCAGGGACGGATTTAGGGGGGGCTGGGGGGCTACAGCCCCCTCCCCCCCAAAAAAAAATTTTTTTACTTGGGAAAAAAAAAAATTTCATGTGTAATTTTTATTTTTTTTTTTACGTATTAGCCCCCCTATCGTCCGGTCCTGGATCCATCCCTGATCGAAATTGACACGTAAATCACTTTTTCAAGATTTATACTTGACCAATTCCAACCGTATAGGCCAAACTGTAGTGTTAGTAACATGATGAGGTTCTTCAGTTTCTGTAATGGTGACAGGAGAATGGTAGGTTAGGTTACAGTATCTGGTCCCCATTAGAAACCCAAAAATCATTATCAACATCATCTGCTAATCACATATCGAAAATTTGAGTAACACGAGACAGCTGAAAATGATGAAGAATCACTTGATTTTGTATATGGAAAGCTTGACTCATCAAATACCACATGACAAGATACAATAATTTTTTTGGTAAATGGGTGATAAGTGATAACACGTGTGCCCTTTGTGGTGATCACTTTATCCAACAATTACATAGTAAACCGTTTGTGGATCAAATTTATTAATTTTTTCATCCCGTGTAAGAAAACCATTTAGAGCCAAACACGCAAAGTATAGTTAGGGTGTGACCCATGTAAGGAGTAATAAAGGAGTTGCGAAATTTAATGTTGAACTAGGCAAACGAATAATCAAGTAAACAGCAGTGGAGAAAGCTTCAACCCACAAATTTAGAGGCAATCTGGAGTGAAACAACATAATCACAAGTTCACAAATTATGCGGTGTGGAACATCCCGGAATTCATTTACCTTTTTACGTAGTTTTTACGTTTTGTTAATTTAAATTTTAGTCATTGTCAAATTAATTCGTCCATGTCTAATCTTGTCACCACATTAAAGTCCATAAATTAAAATGATAACACAATCTATTCCTGTTTGAGAGAGAGAGAGAGACTTATTTTCTTAATTATTTTTTCCTAAGTACTATGTGAACCAAATAATTAAGTATAGTAGACATTGATAAACATATATGAGTATGAGTCTCTTTTTATAGATTGCGTTAATTTACGTAAATTGGGTTCAAGAAAAAAATTATTTTGAGCTAAATATGTCAAATTATTGTGAAAAAAATTATTTTGAGCTAAATATGTCAAATTATTGTAGTTGAAACAAAACTTACGTTACCATTTAACATTATATCAATTCTTAATGCCCTTTGCATTGATTGATTGAAATATATATGGGGATTTTACTTCTTGTTAAAGTAACCAATCTTATCTTTTGTTTTGTCTTGTTTTGTTTTGATATTTGTTAGTGGTGTACGTGTGTGTAAGTTATGAGAACATGTGATGATTTTTCTCAATTTCTTGGCCATTTTCTTTTGGGTTGTGCTACTTGTACATTATGATATTCATAATGGATAGCATAATGTACAAGTAGAATTACCCTTCTTTTACTCGCTCATCAACCATATTTACTTTATATACTTAAACACACGGTTTTTGAATACACACAAAAACGATCAACTCTATATATTTTGTTATTCATCAAATCAAGGCAAAAA